CACCGACACCAAGTGGCGACTATGTGTCCGCTGCTTCCGGGACCTGCAGGGTTAGGCAGGGGGCGCGGTCTTGGACTGGGTGTCACGCGCCGCCTTTCACAGGGACAGCCCACTGCGTGGACCTGGAGTTGGCCTAGTGCAGCTCTGCAAGAGGCTGGAGCAGGCGGTGCTGTTGAGCTGGGGGGGGACTCCTGGAGGCTGAGGCCACCCTGTCCCCAGGCCTAGGAGCCTTGCAGATGGCCATGCGGGAGGCCATCCGGCTGCTGCAGGGCCTGGTGGAGGAGGTGCGGCAGAGGAGGAGGCCGCCATCCATGTGCTCCTTGGGAGCCTGCAGGTGCCTGGGGGGAGCACCCTTGAGTGTGGATGGGATGGGTCTCTGGGTCCCTGTGGAGTTTCCAGAATAGCAGGACATCCTGGGCATGGTGGCGTGCTCCTGTAATCCCAGCACTCAGAAAGCCGAGGCAGGAGGATCACTTTGAATTTGAGGACAGCAGGGCAGCTGGAGTTGAACTAACTTGTCTCCCAGAGTTGGGGAGTTCCAGGCATTAGGATTAGGGAACCTCTAGAGGGTTCCAGGAGGAAGCCAGGGCCTGGTGTAGGCTGGGGTGGTGATGTTGAAGGTGCCATGCAGGGAGGAGGCAGGGCCCTTGTAGGACCGGCCTGCCGCATGTGTCCCCCGGGGCCGGCTGATGGGAGTGGCTGGGTAAGGTTAGTGTCACGTGCCTCCCAGGGCACCCTGGCCAAGAGGAAAGCACTGCTGCAGGCTGTGCAGAGGTGAGTGTTGGCCGTCCCCATCCCCTGGGTCTGGGCAGGCTCTGCCCACCTGGGGAGCAAGGCATCCCAGGTCTCCAGCCAAGGAGGGCAGGTGGCACAGGGCCCAGGGAAGACATGACAGGAAGGACAAGGTGGGAGATGGAGATGCAGCTCTGGGAGCCTTGGGTGGGGATGCGGCCATCCCTGAGATCAGCCCACTGCCCCTCCACAGCCAGTATGAAGAGAAGGGCAAGGCCTTCAAGGGGCAGCTCTGCCATTTGGCCACCCTGCTGCCCATGCTGCAGGTTAAGGGGAGCAGGGGTGCAGGCTGGGTGCCCTTCCCTAGCTAGGCACCAAGCACCATCCCCTCCTGCCCACATGTCGGCACCTGGTCATCTGCTCCTCCTTCCTGAACCTGGGCTGGGACTCGCCCCCCTCCTCCAAGCCATCATCTGTAAACTGCTATGGGGTGGTGAGCCCCTCTTAGGACAGGGAGTCTAGGGGACCCTCCACCGCTCCAGGGGGCAGAGCTTCTGCACAACACTCCACCCCTTTCCTTTGAATTTGGTTGGGCAGGTATCCAAGCCAGTGCCAGGAGAGGGGTGGGACCTCTAAGGAACACCATGTCAAATGCCAGAGATAGACTTCCTGGAGTCCAATGCATGCCTGTGACCCCAGCACTCTGGACGCTGAGGCAGGAGGATCACCTGGAGTTTAAGGCCAGCCTAAACTACATACAGCCTGCCTCAAAAAAAACCTAAATAAATAAATAAGATTTGCTGGGAAGGAAGGGGGGCTCTCTACATCCTGGCCACCCGTGCAGGATATGATGGGGAGGCTGCAAGGCATGGTCACAAGAGGCCCCTGCAGAGCAGCAAGGTGAGGCAGCTGGAGGCCTGGGCTCAGGTCCCCATGGCGCCAGAGGCTGCCTCACGACCCTGTCCCCATGCCCAGATTGCCTGAGACCACTGCGCAGAGTTTGGTGGCTTGGAGCCTGTACTGCTGGCCATGCCCACCAGGCTGGGGGCAGTGCCTACACGTGAGCCACGCAGGGGGTGGGGGCAGGGCCTGTCCACCCACAGCGGAACCTCTAGGGAGAACACCCAGGTGGCCTGCACCGTGGTGTTGTGTACACACCTGCAGTCCCAGCACTCTGGGAGGCTGAGGTAGGAGGATTGCAAGTTGGCACCCAGGGCAATTTAGTAAATCAGCGAGACCCTGTCTCAAAACATAAAAGGGTTGGGGATGCAGCTCAGTGTGGAGGCCCTGGGTTCAAACCCCAGTACTGCTTTATTTTTTTTAAAAAATTTTTGTACCAGGGATCGAACTCGGGACCTTGTGCTTTCGAAGCAGGTGGCAGCACCCAGTACTGTTTTTAAAGGTGGCATGTGAGGGCCAAGTATTTAGCTCAGTGACTGTCTTCCAAGCACAAGGTCCTGAGTTCAATCCCTGGTACCGCAAAAATAAATAAAGTGGCACGTAGCTGTGGGTATTACTGGGTGTGGCTTTCCCCAGTTCCTGGTGGTGTGGTCCTACAGCCAGTTTGGGGGAGCACTGAGTAGCAGAGGGCGCCTGGGGTTCTGGGGAGGGGAAGGTGGTCCACCTACCCCAGGGTCCACCCTGCTGTCTCCCCAGGCTGGCAGGGGCTCAGGGCCCACAGTGCTGGTGGGGTCTAGCCGCCCCTCCCGGAGGGGAAGCTGCTGGGGCTGCCAGTCCCCAAGCCCACGCCGCTGACGGAGGTTGGGGACTCGCCCTTCACAAAACACTGCCGCCACCACCAGGGTTCCTACCACGTAGGGCCAGCCGTCCTGTCCTCCAGGGCGCAGTCCCTGGCGCAGCCCAGGAGGGAGGCTGCCGTGCCCAGCGGTGACTGCGTGCAGGGCCTGCAGGGGGCGCTGTAGAGCCTGGAGGACTAGGTCCAGAAGCTGCATCCGGACCTCACGGAGCCCCACACCCTCATTGTGGTGGGCCGGGAGCTGGACTCGCTCAGCCTCTGCCGAGGGCTTATGGGCCGGCTTCCAGGAGGTAGCGGCTCCCTGAGGACCAGCCTCACCGCCGTGCATCACCCGGGACGGGAGGGGAGGAAGAGGGAGGCCACCTCCTGGCAGGTCTGGGACCCCCAGAGTCTGCCAAAGGGAACCACAAGGAGGTGGGGCAGCAGGGACTGCGTGGCTCCTGGCAGCCACGCCACCAGTGCCACAGGAGAAATTCCCACTCAGTGTCGCACTTGTCTCTTAAGATTTGGGAGTCCTACCGGAGACTGGCCAAGGAGCAGGAGATTTATGAAGGTCCCAGGCAGCTGGGTGCTCCCAAGACCAGTGCACATTAATAGGGAGGGAGGGAGTGGCAGCCACTGACCAGCCCGCCTGGCCTCGCCCCTGCCCCGGCCTTGCCCTGGAGTAGCAAGGTCAAGGTGCAGTAAGCAGAACACCTCCCAGACACCACGCCCGAGACAACTGCAGGGATGGGAATCTTCAGATGGTGCCAGTCTTGAGAATAAGCCCGTTGCCACCAAGACTGACACTGGCCCAGGCCCCCCACAGTCCAGCTCCAGGACCTCTTCCAGCAGAAGCGAGAGAGCACCTGTCTGACCTCCATCACCCGGCAGATCATGCCCTACATGCGCTCCATTGCCAAGGTAAAGGAGCAGCTGGAGTCCCAGATGAGGAGGGCAGTGGGTGTTCCCAGGGAAACCAATTCAGGGAAGACATCAGGCCAGGTGCTGGGCATCCGGAACAAACCTGATCAGAGCTGGGCATGGTACTGCACACCTGTAATCCTAGCACTTGGGAGATTAAGGTGGGAGGATCACTTGGAGGCCAACCTGAATTGCATAGTGAGACCCTGTGTCTTAAAAATGCGGGGCCAGGAATTTAGTTCAGTAGTGCCACCGCCTGCCTCACAAGCGATGTCCTGAGTTCAATCCCTGTACCAAAAACAACAACAAACATGGTCACGGTGAGGGGTCTCTGCTCTGGGAGTCTGCTGTTAGGTACAAGAGTGCTTCCTCCAGCCGTCGGGAAACAGTCACAGCAGAAAGGAGTCCTTGGGAGTGTCATGAAGATCCATGGTGCACCTAAGCAGTGGAAGACAGGAAAAAGCAGGACACACTGGGTCTGGACCACAGTCTCACCCGCTCCTTGGGCGTGGAGGCAGTTAGGCCGCCCGGGGCTGCTCAGCCCTCCCACCCATCTCCTGTACCTCATCTCCTGTCTCGTGTGGGGCCCGCCCCCGGCAGCTTCAGAGAGAGGGTGTTCAGAAGTGAGGTCTGCACCTCACATGTCACCTTGGCTGGACGTCTCTAGATGGAAGTCTGGCCGGGAAGGTCACTTCTAGGGGCCTCCCTGAGGTGTGCGGACCCCAGAACGTGACCTGTTCTATCCTGCCCCAGTGCCCATGACCTCATGTTGGGGAGGAGCTCTGTCCACGCATCGGCCTGGGACCAGGGCTCCTCTCTAACTGTAAATCCTGGCCCTTTGGCTTGGGCATATATTTCTTTTAAAATTATTTGATTTCTTCACATTTTCTCTTTTTGGGTTTCCTATGACTGAATATTGCCCTCCATTACTGGAGACCCCTGCAGTCAGGTTCCAGTCCCCACCTGCCCAGCGTGTGACTCAGGCCTGGGAAGTTACACTAAGAGACAGAACTAGGAGGACCAATGCCGGTGCAACCGACAAAGGTGCTGGCCAGTCCCGGGCCCTGACTTTTATTGGTGATCAATTGGGGTAAAGGCAAGCTACGTGCAGTTTCTACGGAAGTGAATGTAAACAAGGCTCACAAAGGACAAGACAAGGCGTTCTCGAATTAGGAACTGAATAGACAAAATATATGGCTGTAATTAGAACACTGTCCTTCTAGTCCGGAGGTTTTAGTTGTGAGAACGGAATTTGGGTGCAAGTTACTCTGACCTCAGCACGTAGGCTTCAGCCAGATTCACTTCTGTAAACAGCCAGTTGTGGGGTTCACTCCTCACAGCCTGCTTGAGCATAATCGATATTATGGTCCTCTGCATCTCCATTTTGCCTTTTCTATCTGTCTCGTTTTCTTTTTCTTTTTTTCCCCAGTACTGGGGATCGAACTCAGGACCTTGCATTTGTCCAGCAAGAGCAATCTCTGGCTGTTTGTCTCATACTTCTGGGGTTTTCCTCTTTATCTTCCAACATGTTTTGTGCTATCTGTTCTTTCTGCTTTTAATTTCCAAGAGCCTTTCTTTTTTGTTGTTCTGTGTTTTGTTTTTTGAGTCAGGGTTTCACTGTGTAGTCCAGGCTGGCCTCAGACTCATGGCGATCCCCTTGCCTCAGCCTCCAGAGGGCTGGAATTACAGGCATGCACTGCCACACCTAGCCTCCTATCTCCTTAAGTGACTCCATCTAGGCCTTGGCTTTTCTTTCCTTTTTTCTTTCTGGTGCTGCTGGTTGAACCCAGGGCAGGGCAAGTGCTGACCGTATGAGAGCACTGAGCTGTACCCCAGCCCTTTTCCCTGCAGCCATATCACAGAGCTCCCCTTCGCTCTACACATCCAGCCTCCCCCTTCCGGATGTTCCTGCCTCAATGTCTCTGTGGCACCTGGTTCCAGCAGGGGCCAGAATCTCCATGCTGCCTGCACTCAGCTGTGCCAGCTTGTCTCAGAGACACCCTAACTCCTTTTCTTACCCACCCCCATTCTGTCCCCAAGTCCTGTGGGCTAAAGTCTCCACTTCAGGCCACCTGAGTGCTTTCTGCTGTGACCTCCAAATCCAGCTGGGCACAGCCAACCCGCCCCATCCCCTTCAGGCTGCCTGGCAGCTCTGATCTCTTCCAAGCCTGATGCCCATTGCAGCCCTGCACCTCTGCCTGGAAGCTTCCATGTCCCGTGTCCTCATCGCTCCACTCAGGTCCAAGCAGGTGTCGGCCAAGAGGCCCTGGAACACCCTGATGGGTGCAAGTTTTGCTCATTGTCACCCTGTGCCACCAGCCTTGCCATGTCTCCTTCCTAATCCTGCAGTGTCTTCCTGGACCAGCACACAGCTTCCAGGAGAGTGAGACCTGACCTCCCCTGTCCACTGCCACAGCTGGAGGCCCTAGCAGGTCACTGGACCCTGGTAAATATTCCAGGGCCAAAAAAGGCCCTAGAGAGCTTACTTCAATATTATTTTTTGGAGACAACTTTGCTATGTAGCCCAGGCTGGCCTCAAACTCGAGGTGATTCTCCTGCCTCAGCCTCCCAAGTGCTGGAATTACAGGCGTGCACCAGGCATAGCTCTCAGATGGGTTTTTGTGCAGTGAGTCTAAGGCCAGGCAGCAGGCTGGCTCTGTGGCTTCCAATACCAAGATGCCTGCTTCCTCCCACCCAGGTTTCTGGCACCTGGGGACAAGTTGTTGGAGAATCTCAACCTGTACGATGACAGTCGGGATGGTGAGGCGCTGGCCAGCAAAAGCAAGTGATGGATTTCAGAGACAAGCACAGGAAAAAGGAAGCCTGTGGGTTTCACTGCCCTCTTGGGACCTGCAGGAAACCAGTTCTGCAACCTGGCTGGGCCTCTCGACTTCCTAGCTGGCAGATGTGATTCTGGCAGGACCACTTTACAGTGATAAAGGACTGTGGCTGCTGCTGCATTCTTCATTCCTCCTGAGGGTGCAGGCTCTGACCTCCAGTGTTAACAGTGCCAGAGGCAGAGAAGGATATGCAGTAACATCTGGTAGTGCAGGCTGGTCCAAGAGATCTTCCTGCCTCACCCTTCCAGGTCCTGGGTTTACAGATCCGTTACTGTTACAAGCTGATCTCAGTGTCTGGCTCTCTGTAGAACAGGTGAGCCACAAGGAAGGAATGGCGTCCCATAGTCAGGGCTGGGGGAGTGTAGAGGTTGCAGATCCGCCTAGAATCCATGTGGTTCCTGGGCACCTCGAATCAAGATTCAAAGTTTGGAGGTCCAGAGATTTAGCTTCTTGGTGTCTGGCTCTCAAGAGCAAGGTTCTGAGTTCGATCTCTGGTACAAAAAAAAAATTCAAAGCTTGGTGTCCTCCTGAGCTTCTGTGTTCTGGGTCTTGAGATAGCTCTTCTGGGCAGAAAGAGGTGAATCCTTGATGGGGTGTGGACGTGGCCAGGTCCCCTGGGCCTCAGAGATGCTCTGCCCTGGGAGGGCAGCAGGAGGTGTTGAGAGGATGTGCTGAGGTGCAGCCATCCCTTAGGAGTGATCTGGGAAACCTCGCAGACTAGAGGGAAGAGGCTGTGCTGAAGATCAGCAATCCTCAGACCCGATCAGAAGAACTGGGCAACGACCCCACCGGGAGAGGGCGCCTGACCTAGCAAAGGACCTGAGCGCCCAAGACTGGGGTGCCTCAATTGTTCCAAGTTACAGTCTCCCATTTTGTAGTACTGGGTTGGATCAAACCAGGGGGCCGCCCCAGCTCTGTGTGTGTGTGTGTGTGTGTGTGTGTGTGTGTGTGTTTGTGTATTCACACGTGAATAGTAAGATCTATGTAGTTCAGGTTGGCTTTGAACTCACTGCAGAGCCCATGTAGCCTCCAACTCCTGCTAATCCCAAGGGTTGCGATTACAGACGAACACCCCAGGCCCAGCTGTTATTTCTTTAAAGGGTAGTCACCATCTGAAAGCCCCAGGGAAGGCGGGGCTGGGCTGCTCCACCTCCCGATGGTCCCATGGCATGAAGTCCTGGCCCTGTCACAGCCAGGAGCTCGCCGTGGGCCTTCCCAGTCCAAGCAGCACACACGCAGGTGACACCCCAGGGTTCTGCCCATCAGGTGTCCAGGCTCTCTGAGCTCAGTGGCTGGTAGACAGACTCCTTGGCACCCTGTGGCCTGCAGTGCTGGAATCCAGCTGCTCCTGAACCACAGCCCCACTGCTGGCCCAAGCCCTCAGGACCTGCAATGACTCACGGCTACGCAGAGCTCAGGAAACCAGGAAGGCTGCAGGCATCCCCATAGCACAGGGTCCCTCCCACAGCCTCTAATTCCAAACTGCCTTTACTCTCAGCTGTCCCCCTTGGGTTGGCAGGGATGTGCAGCACAGCAACCTTTTGTTTTTTGAGACAAAGTCTCACTGTGTAGTCCAGGCTGGCTTTGAACTCACTTTGTAGCCCAGGCTGGTCCTGAACTTTAGGTAACTCTGTATCAGCCTCCTAAGTGCTGGGATCACAGGCCTGCACCACCATGGATCAGCAATGCGTTTTGGGAGGTGCTAGGAGGGGATCAAACTCAGAACCTTATGCTTGTGAGGCAGGTGATGGGATCCCTTAGCTAAATCCCCAGCCCCAGCAACCCAGTTCTGAAGTCCTATGTTCTTGGAAATTTCCATTTCTACACAGTACCCTTTAAAGAGTAGCTTGGGCCAGGGATTTAGCTCTGGTTTTGCACCCTGCTTCACAAACACAAGGACCAGCGATCAATCCCCAGTACCAAAAAAAGAAAAAAAAGAGTAGTTTAATAAATGCCTTAAAAAGTTAACTTCACATTAAACTTGTAAGTTTGGGCTGGGGATATAGTTCAGTGGTTGCACTGCCTGCCTCAAAAGCTCAAGGCCCCAAGTTTGATTGTCTGGTACCAAAAAAAAAAAAAAAGGCAGGCGTGGTGGTGCATGCCTGTAATCCCAGCACTTGGGAGGCTGAGGCAGGAGGATCACTGTGAGTTCGAGACCACCATGGACTATAAAGTTCCAGGGCAGTATCAAAAAACCAAAAAAAAAGAAAAAACCACACACAAAAACAGTAAAAGCTTTGGCCAGGGATGTAACTCAGTGGCACAGCACCTGCCTGGCAAGCACAAAGCCCCAAGTTCAACACCTGGTACCACCCCCCAAATAAAAGCTTTGGAGGCCAAATGTGCCCAGAAATCTGCATGTTAAGCGGATGTCCAGCTTCATTCACTTGTTTGAGGAGCACCCAGGACCTGTGACCAGGATGGAAATGCAGCCATCACGCATCAAAGCCCCTCGGACACACAGGGCCAGGGCCAGACACTGGCTCCAGCTGGTGACTCTGGGCACGCCAGCTCACTGTGATTTTCCACACTCCATACAACCAACCACACAGCTTAGTGAAATCAGAGTTTTATTGATTTAAGAACTGGGAAGAATCATCAGTATCTGTGAAAGAATCTGATTTAAAATAGTTACACATTTCTGTATGTAAACGGAAGAGTAGAATAATTACTCTGCGAGTCCCTCTCTGTGGTGGGCTTGGGGCGCAGACATCCCACGGCAACAGAGAGGTTGAGGTGACCTAAGCTGGCCAAGCCACTACAGAAGCTAAGTACAGCTACCGAGGCAGCAAGAAAGTGCAGAGTGGGGATGGGGCTCACTGGACTGGGCAGATGGCTCACTTCCTTGTACACCAGTGCCTGGGGAAGCACAGGGCGGCAGTTCCCAAGTGTTCTGTTGGGGCCCAGAAGCGGTTCACACCAAGGACGGGATGGGACGCTGGGGCTGCCCATGGCCTCTGGGCCGTAGGAGTCACCGCCCAGACACTGCCCAGCAGCAGTGGCAGGTAGGGTTTCACTGCATGCTGTGGTGAGCTGCCTTGGCTGGGTGGTTCCTGCTTGCGCCCCAATTCGGACTCTGGACTTGTGAAATGAGTGTGGGGAGGCTGCTCCTTTACCCACACCCAGAACACTTTAAAGCAGAGAAGACAGCTGTCTCCTGTGGCGCTGGCGTGGGGCAGCATCGCCGAACCCCAAGGCCCGCTCCTGGGTCTGGCACGGAGGCAGGCTTTCTGGCCTCAATGCCAACACCCTGCCTTACCAGGCACAGTACCAGAGGCCATCATTAGCTGCACCCCACCCGCCCATCCACTCAAAAGGCCACCTCACAGCCCCTTGGGAATGGGGAAGGCCAGGAAGCTTGGCTGCCAACGTCATGATGACACTGCCCCGCCCAGCCCTGGTGAGTGGCATCTGTGCCAGGGACTGTGCTTCAGGGAAGCTGGGGACCAACTGGACTTGAGTTCCCACACTGAGTGATGCACCTGACGCCTTCAGGCCTGGCCCCCCTGTGGGCTCGGGCAGACCCTCTGGGGTCCAAAGCCAGCAAGGGTCGTGTTGGTAACCGACAAACCCGCTGAGCCTCTTTGGTATCGAGAACATGAGACAATGAATGGAATCTAGAAATAAGCAATGTTTCCAAGCTGGTAAAACACTCTTGAACACACACACTAGGAATCTGCACAGGTAACCAAACAGCACATTTACATGTAGCTTTTAAACCACAGATCTGCACTGTTGCATCTGAAACGCCGGGCACTGGTACTCGAAAGTCCTCACAGCATCCTGGGAGGTGGGTGGCACAGACCCCACTGCAGACGGAGCTGAGCACGCCGCCACCTCACCAGTGCTCCTGCAAAGCTGTGCAGGCTGCTCTCACACCAAGACCAAGTTCCCTTGCGGTCCAGGACACACCGAGGACCCCGGCTGTCTGACCCCAATGCCTGCTCCTCTCCCCGAACTTGCTGGACAAGGACGTCAACAGAACCCCAGCTGGGATGATGTGCTGTACTTCAGATCATCTTCAGGAGTCGAATGCCCAATCAGCTGATGTGCTGGACCCCTTGCGAAAGGCAGCTTGGACCTGCACTGGGGAGGATGTGAATTTGACAGCAGAGAACACAGAAAACATCGCTGGATGGATTTACATGGAGACACAGAAACACAAGCTATGGGAAGATGAGAACAGAATCCCAAATAAATGGCCAGCAGGGAATTTCAGGGTCTGCATAGAGCAGGTATCCAGTAAGCACTTTCTGGACAGAGGAAAAGTGACACAGCTGTGACCTGCCTGTCATGGCGAAGAGGCAGCAAGAGCCAGGATCCCAGGGAGACTCCAGGGCCACAGTCACCTAAAGCCACCGGGCAAACTGTGTCAGGGTCTGTGCTTGCTTGCCAGCAAATGCAAGCTGGACCAGGCAGTCCCAGAAGCCCCTGCGCTTACACAGCTGTGTATAAAGAACAGTGGAAGGGTCCTGTTACACAGATGCGCGTGCATCGCATCAGTGGACATGACAGAGGTCAGGGCCGCTGCAGTGTTCTCAGCAACATGAAAGGTTTCCAGTGCACTTCTCACGCTAACGTGCAGCGACACTCACGCCCCACGCAGCAGACGTGTGTGCCTCTCTCCTGAGGAGGCCCGAACAGGGTGGCCCGGGTCCTGCCCAGTCACTTGGAAGGGGCACTGATGAATATTGCTGTGATCTGCTCCACACTCCTCAGCAGCCAACGCCCTACCTGGGTCCAGCACAAAACTGCTCCAGCTGGTGCCTGGGTCCCAAGGCTTTCTGACCCCGAGGTCTCGGAGACATTCCAGAGTAGTGGTATTGACACAGAAGAGGGTTCAGAAGACCCACTCCGCAGTGGCCGACCAGAGCGCTCTGTCCTGGCAGTCAGTCCCCTGGGGCCCCCCATCATAGCTCCACCTTGACCCCCTTTATGAAGGGCAGGCCTGTGGGCACCCGCCTCTTATACTCCAGGTAGTCCTCTCCAAAGAAATGGATCAGTGAGATTTCCTCTTCCTCAGTTCGATCTCGGAAGAAGCGCCACACAGTCAGGGCATAGACGACACCACAGATGGGGTTACACAGCATCACCTGGAGAGGAGACAGCAAGAGGGCCGGGGTCGGGGTGAGCCAGTGTCTAAGTACCTTTGTCTCTTTCTACTTGTGGTGATCCTCCTGCCTCAGCCTCCTGAGTTTGGGCATTACAGCACACACCAGCACAGCCACCAGCACCCGTCTTAATACCTGCAGGATCTTGCCATGGGCATAGGAAACACAGTACTTGGGAGTCTCTGGGAATCGAGGCATCATCACCAGAACTCAGAGCGTTACATCACTTGTGGCTGGGGTTTTTCCTGCTGTTCCTTTGTTCCTCTTAAGCAAGATCGACCCCTGGGATGCCAGCCCTCTGCTCAAGGCAAGGGAGCCTTCCTGCCCAAGTGTGGCTTGCCCTGCAGGGGCAGGTTCTAAGCCCATCCGTGGACACGCATGTCCTTCCTCAGGCCCAACTACCGGCTCCCAGGCCTGAGTTGCTGGTGGCCCAGGTGAGCTTCCGGAACCTTCTCCCACAGGCCGCTCCAGGGCCTACGCCTTGGCCAGGTCATGCTTGGCCTGCTGCAGGCACCCCTTTACCTGCTTCTGCTGTCCCGAGCTCCACAGGTTCTCCACACCGAGCCAAAGCCAAACAGGCTGTCCAGGTGGAAAGCAACCTGCTCTTTAGGGGCACCCACTGAGCACCCCGCCCACTGCTGGTACCAGGGACTGATCCCCTAGAGACCCAAGAACTAGGAACACACCCCAACTTCTCTCTACTGTGTACCGATGCTTCCTGTCCCCAGCACCACGCCACACCCTTCACAACCAAGAAGCTGCTCGACACATGGCAAAGCTCTCCCGTGACATGTGAGGGAAGAGGCACAGCAGAGAGCAGCAGAGGGGCACATGGCGCTTTCTGGGCACCCTTGGGAGCACATGCGCCAGCCCCAGGCTGTACAGCACTACTCAGCCAGGAAGTCAATCTGGCGTCACGGCCAGCATCACCAGTAAGACAGGAACAAAGCCCTGGAGACGTGAGGGAAGGGTGAATACAGCAGACCCTCGAGTTACAACCAGCCTGACATACAAACAACCTGAGTTACGACTGGAATTTTGGTTTCGACTTATGACCAAGTCTTGAGTCATGACCTGAATGCTGGCTACTTATGCTTCCATATGGTCTCAGATACAGATTTCACCCTCAAAAAGTTCTACAAGGAACATGACAGCATCATTTCCTGGGTGGAGTTAACAGAAATCCTGAGCCAGTGTCTCTCTGAGGACAGAGATCTGCCTGTGTGCAGGAGAGATTTTGAAGGCTGTGTAGAGGAGCCTGAGCCGTCAATTGGCCAACTTGAGTAACAACCAGCCCTCAAGAACAAATGAGTTCGTTAAGTGAAGGGTCCACTGTATAGGAAAGTCAAGCTCTGTTTAAACATAGAGGTGCTAGGTGCAACGTAAAAAACACCTGTAGCCTGAAAGGTACATGTTAATCAAGCACTGGGGTGAATCACACTCAATTTATAATCAATTTGTTCTCCGGGAGTGTGCCTGCCAAGGTGGAGGGGCGGTGCTAATAGAAACAGGGTTTTCTGTTGTGTGGCACTGAGGATTAAAACCAGGGCCTTTGCACTGAGCTGCATCCCCATTTTCATTTTTTATTTTGAGATAAGATCTTGCTAAATTGCTAAACTGCCCAGGCTGTACTTCAACTTGTGATCCTCCTGTCTCAGCCTCCCAGAGTGGTGGGATTACAGGTGTGTTCCACCACACCCGGCTAAAAATACAAAAATTTAAAAAGAGCCGGGGATTTGGCTCAGTGGTTTCGCTGCCCGCCTCACACATGCAAGGACCCCAGTTCAATCCCTGGTACAAAAAAAATAAAAAATAAAATAAAAAGAAATGCTGTGTAATTATCTGTCCATACTACACATCACCGGGAGTCACTAGAGTCCTGAGGTGCCAGGGAACTTCACTGGATTCCCTCAAAGACGGGATGAATGGTCCAAATTCCATTCATGTTCCCTGGCCAAGTTATCCTAAGTCCAAGGGTACAGAATCAAGAGACAGCCATCAAGAAACAAGGGGCTTGGCACGCCTGTAATCCCAGCACTCAGGAGGCTGAGGCAGGAGGATTGCCATGAGTTCAGGGCCAGCCTGGAGTACATAGTGAGTTCAAGACCAGCCTGAACTACACAGCAAAACCAGCGAGACCCTGTCTCCAAAAAAAAAAAAAAAAAAAAAAAAAAAGGCCCCAA